GGACAGACATTAACTAGAAAAGGTGATGTCTTTTTACAAGGTAAAACTAAATATGAGTTTTTAGAATCTAAGAATAAAAAGTGGAATGCTAAAAAACAGAAAATTGCTAATGTGGAAAAGGGTGAAAGTTTAGATGATGTGCCCACTTTACAACAGACTTTAATACGAACAGATGGTGGTACATTTGTACAAGACAATAAAAATTATGAATTTTTAGAATCAGAGAATGGTGTTTGGAATGCTAAGAAACGGAAAATTACTAATGTAGAAAAGGGTGAGAGTTTAGATGATGTGCCCACTTTACAACAGACTTTAATACGAAAAGAAGATGGTAAATTTATACAAGATGATAATAATTATGAATTTTTAGAATCAGAGAATGGTGTTTGGAATGCTAAGAAACAGAAACTTAGCAATTTGATGGAAGGTACAGATAGTAAAGATGCTGTGAATGTTTCACAAGTTCCAAAAATGGAAGCAGGCTATTGGAGTTTTTATAATAAACGGTTAGTACGTGTTAAACCTGCCATTGATGAAACTGACTGTGTTATAAAAGAACAGACTATAACTTTTGATAAAAAAGAAAAATGTTGGGATGCCAAAAAACAATTTATAAGGAATCTACCAGAGGGAGAACATTCGGATGATATTTGTCTAATGTCACAAGCTATGCATTACGATGGATCAAAATTTGTATATGGAGAAAAAAATTTTAATTTGATGGAATATAATCCTGATTTATTAGTTGCTGACCCCACATCTTTGAGTGGATTTAAGTATATAGATAATAGACCATATATACCAGAAAACTATGTATTTAAAAGAATGGAAGATAATCTATTGATTGGGGCTAATGGTGATGTATTTAGAGTTACAGGAAAGGATGATGTTATAAAAAATGAATGAAATTGCATACGAACTTCATAAGCCTGCAAGAAAGAATTTCATTAGAAGGTCTTTTAAAGTATTGGGTATAAATGAAACTGTACAAATAGATTTAATTGATATGCAAAACTATGCTAGAGAAAATTCTGGCAATAAATATATTTTAACTTTAATAGATACATTTTCTAAAAAAGCTTATGCTGCTCCACTAAAGAATAAGACAGGGTTGGTGGTTACAGAAGCCATTAAAACCATTCTACCAAAGGGGGTTAAAAACATTCAATCCGACAATGGAAAAGAATTTTTTAATCAATATTTTAGCAAACTAATGAAAAAATTAAATATTAATCACTATCACACATTTTCTACAACTAAGGCTGCAATTGTGGAGAGGTTTCAGAGAACTTTAAAGAATTGGTTATATAGAGAATTTAGTGCTCAGGGGAGTTATAAATGGTTGGATTTACTCCCAAAGTTAATTCGAAAATATAATAATAAAGTGCATAGATCTATAGGTATGAAGCCTAACCAAGTGAATATTAAGAACAGTAAATATGTGCATGAGAGGTTGCATGAAAGGACTTCTAAAGTAGTGCAAGTTAAAAAGCCAAGATATAAGGTAGGTGATAGCGTGAGAATTTCCAAGTATAAACATGTTTTTAGTAAAGGATATACCCCAAATTGGACAGGGGAACTATTTACAATATCAGAAGTTAAGAATACAAAGCCTGTGACTTATATCTTGAAAGATGAAAATGGTAATATAATCAGAGGAGGCTTCTATACAGAGGAGTTGTTAAAGACCAAATATAAAGACATGTATTTAGTAGAAAAGGTAATTAGGAGAAAAGGTGATTTATTGTATGTCAAATGGCTTGGGTTCCCAAGTAGCCAGAATTCATGGATTTCCACTAAGGATGTCCAAGGGAGCATGCCCGCGACCAGGAGCGCGCCCACGCCATGAGCCGAGTTCGCACATACATGATTTTGAAATAGAAATATAATATATCAACTGGAAAGGGGAATGGTAGATGTACTAGCAATTGTGCATGGGGCAGAGGGGAGTGGTGAGGGGGTGAGGGGTGAGGGGGGGGGGAGTTGGCCCAAAAATGTCGAACCTCAAAAAACGGCGGCGACAAACTATACTAACAATATTAAACAACTCATACGTCTAATATATAGATAAGATAAGACAGAAATATAATACATCAACTAGAAAGGGGAATGGTAAATGTACTAGCAATTAGGCATGGGCGGGGAGTTGGCCCAAAAACCTCGTGCCGCAAAAAACGGCGGCGACAAACTATACTACTATACATATACACATGCATGGGTCAATAAATGAAATAATTAGTTTTTTTTTATTTTTTGCTTAATATCGAATATATTTATAGGGAATAACTAAGAAATAAGGTTTGACAATTTTATAGGGATATTTGGGCAAAGATCAGGATTTTTGGAATTGGTGGCCAAAAAATGATCCCCATAAGAATAACATGGGAAAAACGTGTCTAAAGTGAGGTAAAACCGGCAGTTCTCCACTACTTCCCTGGACTGGCATTGGTTCTACCATATTCCGACGTCATCAAGGAGTTCTACGTAAACAAGATCATTTTGGACAGCTCGGAGTGAAGACTTGAATAATCTAAAGCTGGGTCACGTGTCAATTAGGTACCTGGAGGGATGTATAATACATCTTGTTCTAGACAGATATCCGAGTAGGCACTTATCTTTGGAGATTAAAACCTCGCTTTTCACATCGCACCTTAACTAGGTAGAACTAATACACTCCTAGTTTGTATTTATTATCTAAACGACGTGTTTATTGACTGATCCGACATTTTCAATACAAATACTGAGTCAAATAATATGAAACGATTTTTTCCTTCAGTCACCCGACAAAGTTGGCTTCCTTGTACTGTTTATAGTACAGAAAGCTGCTAATTGCTGCATATTTATACTTTGCCGTACGGTTTATACTTTGTCGTACGGTTTATACTTTGCCGCACATCAGGATTCCAACGAAACAACACAAAACAGCGTGGTTCTATTATGCACGTAATCCGTGTACGCTTGTAAATAGGTTGGCAACACTTAAAGATAATAATACAATGAGCAGCTGATTGACTATTATAACTACGATTTAACCTGTCATTTCGTGTTTATAGTTTCGGTATTTCTAAACTTTCTGGACTTTTCTTTTAAATGTTTTTAAAACATTCCTACGATCTTAATAAACAAGAAAATACCTTTATAGCATTTTTTTAGGCGTGGAAACCACTTCAAATTACAAAAACATACGGAACTATATTCTCAAAACGCTGAGCACATTTCTTGCCGAGGAAAAATAGCGGAGTGATACGAACCGCGGGTACTACTTTCTCTAGGGCACCATTTGTGTTGCCAGTTGAACCTAAAAACGTGTTGTATAGTGTTTGAAAGACTAATTATTTATATGCTTTATAGTGACTGTAGGAAAAATATAATGTGTAACACGAGTGAAAAAGGCCTTTGCTGCACTCGAGATCATTCCGCACTCGCCTGCGGCTCGTGCGTAAACATTGCTCTCGTGTGCAGCAAAGTGCCACTTTCACCACTAGTTACACAAATAACTATTTCTTTTTATTATTTTACTACCTACTCTTTACTTCTCAATATAATGCTGTAGAACTATGTTTAAAAGCAGTCACCAAATACATCAATATTGTTTTTAAGTAGAGGTAGGCTGAATCTAGGTTTACTGTTAGGTTTGGTTAAACTTTAGTATATTTATTTGTTGTACGTTTTAAATCCGTACATATTGTTTATTCACAAGGACAGTGTTTGAATAACAGAGATTGAAGAAAATTATATTTCGTATGATAAGATTTATTAGGGCCTATTTAATTTTAATGTCTTACAAAAATCAGGTTTCTCAAAATGTATTTGTATGAGACTTTCTTAGGGATGATGACTCATTCATTCCAAAAATATGAAGAGAGTCATTCAAGGTTTTTTTAATTTTAAACGGTAAAATAAAATTAACCTTTCAAATATCAAAAGTTTTTAGTCTATTTTTTGGATCTTTTATTGCTTTCGTCTCCCGAAAACAATAATTCGTCTTTCGTTGTGTATTTGTGAACAGATCTCCAGACTTTTCGGGTGGACTAGAAAAACGACAAAACATAGTTAGTATTTTTTTGTATAATTAAAAATTACGGTACACAATTTTATATTAAACAATTGAATATATTATTCTTAACTGACTAAAGTGAACGCAACTATGGGGTTTATATCATTATGTGGAGACAATAACACAATGAAGCGTCGTACTGAATATAAGTGAAGCATGAGTGCAGAATAGAGTGCAATATTGTTTGGCTGTAATACTGGTCTTAACTAGCCGATTCATTAGTCAGGACAATTTATCAACCTAACCTAACCTAACCTAACCTAGTTGATGTTTTCACATCCATTCAAGTATTAAAATATACAAATAGAAATAAATAGTAGTCTTAAATGTGGTATACAGTTGCAACTAAATCAAGTATGTGATTAAGGCTTGACGACGATGCCTGAAACTGAGAGATAATATCAAGTCAGAGATGGTGATATTAATCGTCACATCCACCAATCTCATCCGAGGATCCATTAATCAGGAATGGCAGTCCAATGCATTCCACGAACGCCAACTTGCAAATGGATTGCAAATGTGGAGGTAATTTGTTCTCTAGGCTGTGAATGGCATTGACAATTATCAGTGATGTTAAAATGAGTTCTGAATATATCTAGGACACAATGTGTGAACTTTTTCATTCTGTGTTGCTTGGTAGGTAAGAGGAATATCCTATTAAAAATTGTAAATCACTTAATTTTATCGAATTAAATATAAGCCCTATTCATTAATAAAGTTACTTTTAAGGTATGAGGTTACATATGTTTTTAACTGTTAGATTTAGGCATATAAGAATTTACATTGTGTTTATGATTTTGTTCCAAACAGTCCTTTTTAAACTGTCATTTGGTACAGTAAAAATATAAACCACTCGCTTAAGGTGGTAAATGAAACAGTGCAAAATTAAGCGTTGCCGTTGGGTACAGATAATTTGTCTCTCTAATGTATTTCTTTTTTCCAGATTTCTAAACATCGAGGAGTTGAGAGCTTCGTTCTCTGTAAGTAAATCTATTTAGTTTTACATTATTGTTAAATTTTGCTAGTTGTTATATTTATGGATGCATACGTTGGGTTTTCTTTGGCGTAAATGTAATATTGATCAACAATACAGCTATTTTTAAGATCAACCAAGAGTATCAAGAATTAAAGAGGATCAAGAAGGTAAATAAATATGAAACCACACCAAAACAATTCTGTGCATTTTGTGAGTCACTGTCATTTTTTTTTATTACAAAGCAATGGAATCACCTATTATGTATCTCTATGAAACCTTTTTTATATTGACTTAGCTAAAATATTGCATTGAATCAAACACAAAAGAAGAGTACTAGTCTAGTAAAATACTACTCCCTTACCTATTCTGGCTAAAATGTATGTTTCAAGTAGAAACTAACAAATCTCGATAAAGAATGTCTTAACATTTCTTTCAAAAGACTAAAATTATGCTTCAATGTAAATTTTTTTGGAAGAACATTCAACGTAGTATGAAAAATTCAGACAGTTAATTAAATTGACTAACTATAATAACTATCCACAGTATTAGATATATAAAGAAAAATCAACAATCGAAATTAACCATCAAATTTACAAGTGCTTTAGCATAAATATAATTTTAAAGTAAACCCACATAATTAGGCTTACCCTTCATGCAGTAATTTCAAAAATGTAAAACCTAAACAATAGTGAAAACAATAAAATGATAAAGAACTTAACTAATTAAAGCGCAAGGGCTTAAAATCTAAGTAAATTTAAGAGTACAACATCCGGACGCGGCATCCCCTAGAGTTGAAATCCTCTAGTTGATGTTAAACTTTGCATTTCCGTTGAGTAACGTTTTTTACCTCTGGATGATATTTCGACGACTGCAGCACTATTACTATGACTTATATTACACGTGTTATCCTTAGGTAATTTCTCTTGGTTATCGAAACATTAACTCGGACAACATATCCAAAACGTTTAATTTTCCCATTATTTATATAAGATAATAATGAACCTATGATTAAATCACTTAAGAGTTATTTATTCTACGCTTAAATTTTAACATTTTACCATTTTATGACGAGCAAACAGAGAGACATACAATGTTTCATACGCTTATCTACATTTTCGAAAGCTTTTGGCTTTGTATATCGTCGCACGAGTTGTTGAAATTTATATTATTCAATACTTAGTCAAATTTTCACTTTTAACAAAATGTATTCTATGGTGATACAATTGATTGTAGAAAATAAGTAATGTCTACAGTACAATTGGTGACATTGCATGTTTTGGTTTTAAATTACTCATATGTATATTTTTATGCTCGCACCCCGTTTCAAATCAAGATAAAGCTACTAGTATTCAATACCATACTTGAAATATTCTACCGTATATCTTATACTCTTCAATATGGGAAACTTTAAGGCAAACATTTAATCCAAAACTACTGTGACAACAAATATAGGAAATACTGGCTTTAATTATTGAGAAGTAGGCTAATCTTCTAACATTGTACAACATAATACCTAATTATGTCATTGACGTCAGTGGCAGTATTAGGTCAATCAATAACCTGGGAAGGCCGCTATCAAAATTGTTTCAATTGTTTTGCTATTTTGATCACAACACATTATTATTATCAATTAGATTTTTATGGCAGGTGAACTGGTTTATTGAAACAGTGAATAAGTGCACCTTATATGGTAAGAGATGAGGAATTCCGTTCTAGATGTCCAGGGCCATATCCCACCATTAGCCAATTCTTTGTGATAACACATTGGCCTGGTTATTTAGCATTTAAAGTTGATTATTATTATTATTATTATTATTATGATTATTATTATTATTACTAGCTGTTGGCCCGTCCTATGTACGGGAATCCAGTAGTCAATTAAAACGTGATTTAATTCAAACAGCTAGTTTACATGCATAGAGAAAAATTGTGGCAGTTTAAATAGGGAAACCATTTTGTAAACAATCACGTGACCACCTATTTCTTTTATCTGAATATAGGCCTATACGATATGCATTTTAGATCCGATAATTTTACAATAAAACAGAGATTGCGTTGATTTCAAAAGCCTTGAAGTGCAATTGGTCGATTTACAGACACTAGTCTGATGTCCCCCACACCTAGGTGTTTACACATTCCTCTTAGCTTTCGTATCTCAACCGCTGTTATCTGTATATTTCCTTGGCACTGGCACACTCTATTCTCAAACCCAGCGATAAGGTTTTTCGGTTCCATGGTCAGGGCTTAAGTTTCTGAACCATACAGTACTACTGGGATGATATGGTATAGTATGAATCGAATTTTATTTCTACTGACACCTAGCAGCTTATTAGACAGTTTCAGTTTTCTAGAGACCTACTACAACACCAGTTGACATTTGCATTACCCGCCGAAAATTTGTTATTTTCTATTATTCTTATTAAAAATTTAATGTAGAACACGAAAATTGCATTATCTGCTCAAATCCATATACAGGTAATTGATAAATTGATGTATTAAGTTTAAAAACATAGTTATTTTTTAAAAACAAAATCATTCTTTGGGAAGCTAATGTTTAGATTTGGGTTTGTCACACTGAGTACCAATCACCCTGTATATATGATTATTATCAATTGAAATGGGGACGCCACATATTATGTTCGTATTGTTCGTATTGTTCGTATGTTCGTATGTTCGTATGTTCGTATGTTCGTATTGACCTCATGAGTGAAGGATGAGTGTAGAGAGGAGTAAGATGTTCTGTGTAACCATAGACTAATGTAACTTACTGGCTAGGATCAGCTGTTTCATTAGAAAGGGTATTTTTGTAGTTCCAAAAAAACAATATAATCTCGTAGGTATGAACCACGAATATTACGTGCTTTATTTCTATGAAAGATTTCCCTTAAAAAAATATCCGTTTTACAGGAAAAATATAATGCAACATTTTACATAGCCAATAAGGCTTACGCAGCGAAATAACTTGACCAACTCTTGTTGTTTTAACTACGATTATATCGCTACCTAGATTGAATAACATGTGACTGGTTAAGTAATATCATAGAATAAAGAGTAGACTTTTTATTTTCTCTACCATTAGTCTGTGTTTATATTTGGACATTGCATACAAAATCCTCAGAAAAGTCCCTGGATGTTTGAAAATAATTGAGTGTTGAGTCCTATGTCATCCCTTGCTGATCCTCCTTCAAACAAAAAAACAAGGTTGATTCACTTCTGTTGTTCATAACAATGATCACGGATGGGCGACTATAACTTAGAAGAATATAATTATTTTAATCATACTTTAATGTTGATTAAATATTTGTAATTTGAAGGAACGTTTTTGCCTTTGGGATTTGTATGTAAGATTCTTTAAAAAAAAATGTGGAATAGCTATAAATATTATTTAGTTTGAAATTAATTAAATAAAACTAGTAAATTACTAAATTCCACCACAAAATTTTAAAGAAAAGAGCCTCGGATAGTGTATAAACGTTAAAAGTTAACCTATTGAACTTTACATATTTCTTATTGTCCTAAAATTAACCTTAACTGTGCATTCAATGCTGACTAATAATGAGAGTTACTTAATTAAAAACATCTCGTGAGTGTTTTTGTTTCTAAATATCTCCTATTGTTAAAGCGAAGGACAATTATTTTGTCATATTTTGACACATCGTGTAAATTAATAAAAAAAAACTAAAATGCTCGGGGTTAAAGGTAAGAAAATTTAAAAATTTTAATTAATTACTTAACAATTATAATATCGAGTGATAATTGCAATCTACAGGGAGACCTCAGTTTTAATTATAGATAATTTAATTTGGTCCATACACAAGGTAGGCTAGTTGCAAAAACCTATTAAATTAAATTTGTTAATCAGGTTTTAATTTTTTTATACGCTTTGAGGCGGTTTTGGTTGACCAGCTTCGTTGTTCTTTCTATGTCCCCTGTTATGAGTTGATAGAATAAGTATGGCATTTTTCTACCAATTATTTTCAGTGTACACAATGCATTACTCATACAAAAGAAGGTCTTCTAAATACTGCTGACAACTAGAACTTTAGCTGTATCACGTTTAAAAGATCAATGAAAAACATAATCTTTATTTAAGGAAAAATATCAACGTCAAGGGTATAGCTTATACCATTTTTTTTTTTTTTTTTTTGAAAATAAGGAAAATGCCTCTGGTTATTATGTCACTTCTTATGAAAATTTGTATAGGGTATTACCACTTAAATTTTATGTTCTCGACCAAGATACGAAAATAGTTAGGGCATAATAGTTGTTGTACAGTTCGTTGAGAATGGTGTAAAGAATTTAAGTTGATTACCCTAACTTTGAATAATGATGAGTGTCTGATTAGCACAAAGTCAATAAGTACACTATATAAGTATAATATACATTTCACCTGAATCATAAGAATCGCATTTTTTATTCTTTAATTGGATATTTTTACTGTGATGTTGAAAGAAGATCAATTAACTGTATGGATTATATTGTTGAGTATGTCAATCACACTATCCGTTTTTAATAACAATACATTATATTATTTGTCAATACGAAGTCACAAGTTATGTGATAGGACGTACACCTTGTACCAGATCCTGGGAAAATTCTCTAGAGGATGAAAAATAATTGAGCGTGGAGTCCTATTTCATCCTTCTGCCGAATGCCTCTCAACCAACCGATATCGAAGTTTATTCATTTCTACTGTAAAAAATAATTGCGGCGGAATGGAATTGAGCACAGGATTGAAAACTTGTGATGAAACTTGGTGGGTTTGACCCTTAATAGTAAAAAATAATATTTTTATTTGTATAGAATAATTTACATGCTCAAGTGTAGACGGGCATCTACATGCAGTTTTGTATTTACCGTAGTAAATTACACCATGAAACAAAATGTTAATTTCCCGTTTTTAAATGTTACTAACTAAAAAAATGCTAATGCAAAAAAATGATAATGGCTTATAAAATCTTACTATATTATAAATGTGAATGTTTGTGTGTTTGTTTGTTTGAA